CGCGCAATTGTATTTTTTTAATACACGTGGTGTGAATTAATTTTTATTGTGTGTATGTGTGTGTGGAAAATAAAATAAGAAACAGCACAGTACCATCAGTCATGGCAAGTTCTAACTTCATGCTAGCACAAACATTAACAGCTTCTGAACAATTTCATTGACTTAATTTTACTCACAAAGCTTGGGTCAGCCTATGGTATGGTTTTCAGGCATCTCCCCAAACTGATATGGAAATATTTTCTCCTTGTTAAATCAACTATAGTGAGATTTGAACTTATGGTTGTACTTCTAACATTGTAACCACTCAGCCATATGTCCTATTACAAGAAACTTTTTGACACTTTCATCCTTATTCACAATGATTTGAGAAGGAAGAAACTTTTATTTGCAATCTCATTTCATCTACAATTACAAAACACTCACAACTCTATGCTGAGAATATCAAATCATAAAGCAAAATTTCATAAAACTTCAAAAGATTTAAGAAGCAAAACCAAGTCGAATGCTCTTGAAATATAATTAAAAAGAGTAAAAAGAACCTTGTTCAACAACTGTAGTCAGAAAGAAGTTATCATTAAGAAGAAAAATACAAAAGTTGTACTGAGATAAACTTTGATGCACATAGAAGACTAAATAAAAATAAAAATCATTATTTTAATTGACTTTAAAATCCACAACAAATATAATAAAACATTTCACAATACAAAGTACTGAGATTCATTCCTCAGAATTTTCTAAAATAATTTTTCATAATTCTTAAATTGTATTTCAATATCTGACTTTTCTTCCTTATGAAAATCAAGGAATTACAATGTGTATGGTTCATTCTAAAAAGTTTTCTGAATACCAAATACTGAATTACCACATTTAGGTTTCATTATCTAGCCTCATATCCTTGCATATATTTTTCCATAAAAAAAGAAATTAAAAAAGAAAGAAATATGATTTACTTTCTGTGACTAATAAGAATTTCTAAAGTTAAATAATTCAAATAAAAATGTTGGGCCAATTTGTATAGGATATAATATAGAGGAAATAAACTGGTCAGCATTTTTTCTTTCTGATACAACCATTTCATAACCAAGATCTGTGCAAGTACTATTTTACAAATTCAGTTTGTCAATATTTTAAGCTGTTATTATTTATTTTTATTTTAGGTTTTTGGTCACAATGCAGATCTGGAATTGTTCCATGAAAAGAAAGACAAATTTCATTGTTTTCTTCTACTCAAACTTTACCTCAGCTTTTATTTGCAGCAGAGTAGCTAGTTAGGTTTAAGTCTCCAAGTTCTCCATGGGACAATAGCCTGGAAGATTAAAGCACTGATTCATGAATTTGTTGAAAGTAATTGTGAGTTCAATCCCTGGGTCAGGTAGTGTGTACTTGGACTCAGTGGAAATAACTGATCAGTAGAAAATGAGAACTAGATGAAATATCCCTGGATATGGAGAGTGAAACAAGAAACATTTTCCCCCAATAAGTTAAATACATACAATTTGAAACTCCCTGAAAGTTATCCAAATCTTCAATTACCTGATGAAGGCCAGAACATTATGATAACGACAGGACAATAGTCAGTGTCTAAATAATGTAAATAATGATAATACTTCATTGCAGAAAGTCAGACAGAAATTTATTTGCTTGTAATTGACTCTCCTCTCAAATGTGATGACTTCTGCAGATTTCATAAAATGGCGACAATTTACCCATCGCATACTGTATATATAGCATGCGATGAGTAAATTGTCACCATTTTATTGTTTTTTTTTTAATTTTGAGTGTGTATTTGGTTTTTGTTTTGTTTAATATACAAGATGTGATGGAGAAATTGTCACCATTTTATGTTTTTAATTTTATGCATTCATGCTTTATGTTTTTGATTTTGTTGACTGCACAGTATAGTAGGGTCAGTTGGGCACCATCTGTGAGAAAAACAGCACCATGATGCAATTCACCCCACCAGAAATTTGGAAACAGTATACTGTACTGCTTGGTATCACACTGGAAGCTCCAATACAAACATTTCAGAGAGTTTGGGTAACAATCAGGAGACAGTGCAGAAAATTCAGAAAGAATTGGATGAGTCTAATGGTGATTATGAATGTATGGTAGCTTATAAAAATCTCACTGATAAGAAAAGAACTCCCAAATTTGTTGGTGAGGACCTCAGACTGGATGAAGTGTCAAGTGTCTTAAGGAAGTAGTGATGCCCTGTGTAGAGAAAGTGGCTGCTGGAAGACCCTATGACTGGCAACAGGACTCTGCACCATACCACACAAGAGGGGAGAACCCAGTCATGGCTGTCAGACAATTTCTGCAAACACATCACTCATTATATCTGGCCACCTAACTCCCCAGACTGCAACCCCCTTGATTATTATGTTTGGGGAACAGTTGAGAACAACAAAACTCTTTGTAATACCAAAGCTGAACTGAAAGCAACGAGTATAGCAGTAGTCACCAAATTAAACAACAAAGAGATGATCCAGAAGAGTTGCAGGAGATTCCAAAGTCATCTGGAGACCATGGTTGAATTCAATAGCAATTTTATGGAATAAATTTACTCTTTAATATTTCATGATATTTTTGTGTAATTTTAGTAAATAAATCTGTTAAAATCAGATGCCAGGGTTATTTTTCATTTTTGCATGATTTAGAAGGTAATTTATCTATCGCACTCTCTATATATAAATAATAGCTGGCTACTTGTATTTCTAGGGTGGCTAGCCAATCCCTATTGCAGATGCTTACTCAGGCACATTTGTGTTTGTTCAACACCCACAGAGCCCACCTGTGGTTTATACTGCAACTATGCTGAGCAGACCTTAGTTACAGTTTCTGGGAGAGGGTGTGTTATTTACCATGATTAACAATTTGAACAAGGCCAGCATGCTCAAGCCCTCAGTCATGACTTCATGCTAGCACAGCTATCAACAGCCCCCAAGGGTTCTACCTACCCAGTTTCACTCACAAGGCTTGGGTCAGCCTGTGGTATGGTTTTCAGACACTTTCCAAAGGATTGACCTCAATTCAGCCCGATAACATCAGGAAGTCTTCTTCCTGACAAATTGACCATGGTGAGATTTGAACCCATGGTCAGAAAGTGAATGTTCTAACCAATCGGCTACATGTCCATAATATCTATCTATCTATCTATATATATATATATATGTTGAAGCTTAAATAAGCATGGAATAATACAACACAAAATGTACGTTAACAAAATGTATTGAAACAAAGAATAGGTACACAATATTTACAGTTAGTTTGGTATATTCTTGGGAAGACTGTTCCTGCATAATGGGTTGACTAAATCGCAGTCGGGCAGAGTCTCTGGATTCAATTTCTTAATCTCTACTATCTTCCCCGTCTTCCGGTACCAACCCATATTTATATGGTCGGTAGTCCGCTTATGTAAATTAGGTGTATCATACACAACAATATATATACATATATATATATATATATATAGCATTATTAATTTTTTTAGAGATAACAATAATTTGTCTTTATACAAGTCCTACTATTTAAGCCATAGCTAAGAGGAGAAAAGATGGATTCATATCTTTCTCAAGGTTATTTGCATATAAGTGAATGTAATGAACTCAACTGGAATTTGAGCTCAGCTTTCTGATTTCTCATTCTGAGCCACTGTCCATTGCACCACCCACACATTCCTATTAATGGAAAGAAGTTTCTGGAAAAATTTTTTTAGAAAAAAAATCATACTTTCTTAAAATCCATTATTTTATAAAACATATTTCAGAAAAAAATGTGTGGAATCAATTGCCTTTAGTCACATAAGAAAAGTAAAGACAAATTGTTACAATGTCAATCGTTATCATCTGTCTTTTCCATTCTTGTTCTTTGATGGTTCTCTCTCATTAATGGTGTTTTTTTCTCATATTCTCTCACACTCAGTAACCCCTTGCATCATAATGGCTTTATTGCTTTGAAGAGTATGTGCCAAAATTATTCACTGTCTGTAGTTGAGAAGCAGGTTGTTCACAAGTCTTTTAACATAGAAAGATAATATGGCTAAGCAAAAACTTTTCTCAACAATGTTTGGTCACTTAAGGAGAAGAGCAATATCACAAACAGGCTACAGTACAGAGTTGCTCCTTCATTGATACAGGAAAATGAAACTCTCAAAATATTATTACCTCTAACTGTAGTTCACAGTAGAAGCCATATGATTCCTGGGCATAAGTGAAGATAGCCATTGATTGAAAACTTTAAGACAGAGAGATCCAAGGGTAGTTGTTGCAAAATAAGTAACAGCAATAATTATTGCTTCCTATATTTTACCATGATCCACTGCAAATGTTTAAGGAGGCTGCATCAAAAGAACCAATGTTTGGTCAGATTTGTTATTTTTACTACACTGGCACATAATAAATTTGATAATTTTTTAGAAAATAATAATATAATTAAAAACAGAGAACACACTATGCTCAAATAGTGACTTAAGCCTGTTAAATGCTTAATTTCATTGAGTTTTAGTTTTGTTTTTTTCTTTCAAGCAAGTTAGAATGTCCAAGATTTCTCACTGATGAATCAATGTTGTCAATCTGTTCATTGTTCTACCCCTCTTTGATTGGGGACCCTGGAACCTGAGAAGAACTCTTAATGGAGCTGTAACTGAAAAAGCAATTAAGATAATGATATCAATAACAAACCTGATGGGACAATTTTCTGGAATGGTTGTCATTATTATTATTATTATTATCATTATTCCAGCTTTCTTTTCATTTTTTTTCCATGTCCTGTGCTATGTCAAAACAAAAAAATCACTATCAATAAATTTTCTTCATCTTCACCATGACTGGATTTGGTCTTCTAACCTGCATTGGGTCATCTTTTTGAATTTCTATGTCCCAGACACTGAACAGAATTTTAATCATGCATAGCCATTGATCAAATCTTAGTCAATAATAATGATAATAATAATATTACTACTACTACTTCTATTACCATCCACCACCACCCTTATCAGGCTGACAGCCACATCACATTTAAACACTGATTCTTGTACAATCACCAAAGTTAAGCAATATTGAGCTTGGTCAGTACCTAAATGGGTGATCACTTGGGAATACTAGGTGCTGTAAGCTTGGGTGTGTGGGTGGTGTAATGGATAATGGTTCAGAATTGTTAATCAGAGAACCAAGTTTAAATTCTAGTTGAATTTGTTATATTCACTTACAAGTAAATACTCTTGGGAAAGTTATGGGTTAATTAGTAATAGTTGTATCACTAAACCATATTATCTTCAAAAACCATCTAAAAATATTTAATATTAAATAACCAGCAAAGTGTGGATAAGCCATAGAAAATGAATCAACCAACCAATCACTACTATCATCAGCATTTTGCTTTCTGTTTGATATAATCTCTTACCAGGTCATTAACCAACACCTCAGTTAAGGCAATGTAGTAAATATATATATTCTAATATTTAAGAGATACTTAACTTGTCCAATGTTTATATTTTCTTTACCCTGAAGATGAGCAGTTCCATACAGTACATTTTTTTTTGGCAAAAAAGTGTTGCTAGTTGCTTATCTGGTCCCAATTATTCTAGGTCTATCAATAGATTCGAGGTACCACATTATTTTTATTTTAGGTTCCTTATATTTATTTTGTCGTATTTTTTATCTGATATCACTGCCATAATCTGAAAGAAAACATTTTAAGATTCTAATCTTTAGCCATCTTTTAACTTTTATATGTCTGTCAGTATGAATGGCAAATCCCAAAGAATGGGTTATTCTTCTTCTTTCTCCTCCTCCTCCTCCTCATCATCATCATCATTTAACATGGGAATAAGTACTAATGAATAGACAATTCAGAAGAAATAGGTTTCAGAAAAACTACAAGGTACTGGTAAATTTCTGTGGTTGAAATGGTTAAGGTGCTATTGTATTCAGACAATTTTCATTGGGAGCAACCTATTGATTGCCATTTCATGCCATTTTAACAGCTTAAAATGACACAGGTAAATGTATTTTAAAAAAAAAAAATCAATAAAATTGTCAAAGAAACTCTAATAAAAATGTGTGATAATGAAAATATTTAATCTTAGGCTATCAAACCTGATAACTGAGTGTTTTTTGATTCTGTTAATTTGTTCAGCTTGTTAACAGAGTTCTCATTCATGGCAGCTGTCTCACAATATATAAACATTCAAGTTGAAAACAGAGATACAGAAACAAACTTTTTGTTTATCTTCCAATGCTAAATTTCACCTAATACAAAGCCCAAGAGCCACTCAAAGTAGAGGATTACAGTTAAAATGCTAATGATCAATGTGTTGTGAGATATGAATGAAAGAGTGTGTGGTTGGAAATGAAGGTTATGAAAATAAAGACGATAAATAACAATTGATTCTTCACTTGAAGAGGTTAACATTATAGCATTCAGGGAAGAATGATCATGGAAGTCTGTTCTACAAGGTGGCGATTCTTGAAAAAAAAGCTGAGTGGAACTTCCATTTTACATTGGGAACATGTAAGAAATGAGGGTGATTCAACTCAGCTCATGTAGAATGGTATATCTGAGCTGTAAAGGTCTGAACTGGCGAAATTAAAGAATGGTGCTATTTTCAACATTTGCCATTGAAATAACAATAGAATAATGACAGGCATGTGATTAGGTGTGTGTGGAAAAGATATGGCAACTATGACTTCTCTCACAAGAATGCATAAATTATTTAGAATTTTATCAAGTTTGGAATGTGAGGATTGAGTAGTTCCTTCCTAAGTATATAGTTGGTATTGGAATTATTTGCTCCCACAGAATAAATGTGAATATTTGCAAGTAGTTACTGAATTTTCCACAGATAATATATATTGTATTTAGTCTTGAATAATTTCGGAATTGATTTATTTTTTATGAGTTATCAACCTTTTGCTAGTTATTTAAAGCCAGAAAATTTTTTTTTAGATTGTAAGAATTTTTTGAAGATAAGAATGATTTTTACTGATATAAGTTCTACTAATTAACCCATATCTGGGTGGAGAAGAAGTGGATTAGTAACTTTCCCAATACCATTTTTGTGTAAGTAAATGTACTGAACCAAACTAGAATTGGAACTCAGCTCTCCGATTAACAATTCCAAGCCATTATCCATTACACCGTTTGCACATTCAAGCATACAGCACCTGGTATTCCCAAACAGTCACCCCTCTATGTACTGACGTGGCTCAATGTTGCTTAACTTATGAGAATCTGTGTTTGAATGATATTGACATGCCATAAGACATAACTTTCTAAAAGGTTCTGAAGAAGACGATACTGCAATAATTCATTCATTTTTCAACCAAAGCAAAGACTGCTGAACTTGACAAGAAGCTTTCAATGAAGATAGGTGATGCTTAGGTTGAAAATTCAGAATATTATAAAGAAGTACAATGAGGTTCATTGTGTTGAGGATAAGTTAAAGACTGAAAGAAAATGGTTGAAAAGGAAAATTGTTAAAGATGTCTCAAAGAATATTCATTTAATGACAAATGACATTGTCAATGATGGACATACAACAATGTTGAATGCATCAGTGAAGAGTCACAAGATGCCTTCATCAAGCAGGGTGTCAAGCTTGTCATCCAAGGAAAATTCCCTTGCTCAAGCTTAAACAACTAAAAAGGTGATTAGGTTATGCTAGAAGTCGTCTAGAACATGGGATGATGTATTGCACCTATGATTTATGGTCATATGAAACCAATCTAGAATTCTTTGGCCACTCTCAGTATATATGGAGGAAATAAAGATGATAAAGAATAATATACCTTCCCTATAATTAAGCATGCTGGTAAGAGCATTATGCTTTGTGGATGTTTCACTGCACCTGAACTATCATATGTACAGGGTCTCATGGATAAAGAGTAATATTTGGATATTCTTGAAAATAATATAAAACAAGGTGGATGAATACTGTCATTAGGGCATCACTGGACATTTAGACAGGTCAATGACCTGAAACACATGGCAGGATCTGTTACAAAATACTTAGATGACAGTAAAATTAAGGTATTGGTATATCATGTACAAAACCTTGATCTAAGTCCCATTCAAAATTTATGGGCCTATTTGAAAAAAGAAAGTATGTGACTGAATTTTTTCAAATTAGGATGAGCAAGAAAAGCTATTATTACTCAGGAAGAATGAAGCAAAATACATGTCAGTGTGTGTAGTAATATTGTAAGATGTTATAAAAAATGATTAAAAGCAATAATTGAGAACAAAGGTTGCACAAATGATTATTGAGGCAAGAAAGCCAATAATTTTGTTCTATATTAAATGTTTGTTTGATGTTTTTGATATGACTGTTTGGCATTAAATAGAATTTTCTTCTGGGATGTACATTCTTTCTAATCCATTATTTCATCATTTGTGAAAAAATGTACATGAAATTTCTATGAAAAGTTAAGGGATTACTACTTTATTCATAATTATGTGAATGAGGCTGAATAATTCTGACACCAACTGTAGCAGAAATACATTACTTTTGGTTTAATCAGACTCTTTTAAAGATAAAGCATGGCACAAGTTGTCAGGTTCATCCTGGAATAAGTGAATGAGGGAACTATCTTTCCAGTATCTTTAGCAATGGACTGTATATATAACATTTTTTATTTTGAGGTTTACAGTGAAATTGAGATGCAATAAACAAAGAATGGAACAATATTGAGAGTGCCACCATTCATCATAACTGAAGAAAACTTAGGATCTGTACCCCATTGATAAAATCTCTCAAATACTACATAGTAATTTTTATGATTACATATTTGGTCTTAACATCCTGTACCAACTTGGTAAGCAGGCTACAAATTTCTAAAAGGACAAAATGTTGTAGCATAAATACAAATCAAAAAGTATTAGTGAGACAAGAAACCAGTGAAGAAATGTACAAATATTTATAGCAGATCCTGTTTTATTTAAATAACTTTCATAAGAACAAATATTTTTGTTTGAATTTTCCTTCAGAAACATCAGTACCAGCAGTCAAGGCAGTGTTAGGAATAAAGTAGAATTCCATTGAACATGTGTGAATGGTAAAACCCTGCATGGCAAAAATTCAGTGCTTTTGGAGTAGCTTGAAGGGTCCAATCTTTGCATGGTAGCCTCTTCTGAAAATGAAGCCATAATGTTAATATTAGCCGTTTCCCTACAAGGAAACATCTGGCATTCAATGACCAAGTAGCCAATAGTGTCTTTGGTCGAAATTTATAAAATCTTTCTCTTAAAACAATTTTTCAGGAAAATAGGTTTCTTGAGTCCAGCTGCTATTATTGTTTTTTTTTTCAGTATTTATGGAGGTTCCTTTCTTAACCTTTTATTTGAAATAATGAGAATCGTTAACATCTTGCTAATGTCATTATTTTTTCTTTGAGTTATTTTTGCTATCCATTTTAGTTGTTGCTACTGTTAATGAAGATCTGAAATTGCTTTCTCTGCTCACTGCATTTGTTTCTAATCTCCAACTGTTGATTAAGATTTTGCTCTCACTTCATGACTCCTTCTTAAACAGCATGGTGCCAACTGCTGCAGTTGTCTGCTAGATGTTTTCAGTTACCAGAGTCAATGTACTTGAGTTAACCTATGAGATACAGTGATCCCTTCCACTGTCAAAGACATCTTGTGTGCTCACCAGGTGTCAAAACGTCTCCAGAGTGTATGGTGGCTGTATGCTGCCCAAACTACATGGACCCCCCTCAGCCATACTGACAATATTTAAAGGAATATAGGGCATTACATTTGAGGCCAGCTTGGCTGCAGGAGTTGCTGGATGGTTTTCATTTTTAACAGCCAACAGCCTTTTAAAGTAAATATAGTAATACTTTTAATATTATGTGCTTCCACTGCTTGTCTATTTCAACATCACCTTTAATAATACTTAGGATTAATTTATTAATGTAATCTTTATGATGATACTTTAATATCCTGTCTTTGAAATATACTCAACAGGAATATCAGTTCAATTTACATGGCAACTTTTTTTCTTTTTTTTTTAAGCATTACGCCTCGAGCAAGGCGGGAAGCCACTAGGATGCAGGGAGTTGCAGAAGATTTGGAGTGAGAGCAGATAGGAGTGATAGAAGAAAGGATGAGGA